ATTTTACACGTGTGTGTAAGTGGGATGAGATATGAATACTGTATTAATTGGCTGTCCAATATGCTTTGATGCCCTCCAGTATTCATTTAATTCCCGGAATTAAAATTTTCAAAGGTGAGCAAAAGTCCCCGGGAGTTGCTTTCATGCAATAATAAGTTAGCAGGACCTCATACAAGGTAGAACTAATGAAGTGTCAGACGCAGGCCGGCCGACCCATCACACCTTGGTATTATTAAAAATGCGGAGAATTGAGCCCTCGAATTTAAGGAAATAGATTAAAAACGTAATAGTTGTCATGGGGATGAGGTAAAAGCAGCATCTTGTTCTTCAGACGGCTGTCCGAGCTAACAGTGAGTCAGCCTTGTCCCTTCTGTCTTCTCCCACTCGTCCTCACTCCTCACATATTTTGTCCACTCGCTTCGCAAACAAATGCTGGCCTCCACTTTTGCATGGTTCCCACCTGAGCAGCCAAGTTCAAGTCCTGTGGTCAGGTCAAGAAGTTCAATACGGGACTGAAGTCGAGCGATGCGACACATGTAACGTTTGTCATATTGATTTGAGTCATTCTACAGCTAAACATAAGCTTGTGTATGGTATCCCTCAAGGCTCCTATTTAGGGCTGTCACATTGAGGTTATGATCTCCCCACATCCTTAGGTAAACAGATCATCCAATTCTACCCTTGAAATGAAATGATTAATACATGAAATAGTCATCTTTTTGTGTTTTTGTTCATAAAAAATACATATAAATGGACACTGGCAAAATAACACCAAAAGAGAAAAAGCTCCTATGTATAGTGAATACGATTCCTAATGAGGTTCCCTTTTCTCTCTCCCATGTTTTGTTTTTTTTGTCAATCCAAGCCCTCCACTCCCACCCCCCGTCGCTTTATGGCCTAACTGACATTGAATTCAATTTACTTCTTAATTAAATCCCAGACAGGAGTTCAGCTCGGCTTTAAACAAGATCGATTAAGGCGTGGCTGGCAGCGGCGGTCCCAATCTATCTGCCCCCCCCCCCCCACCCCACAGCCTCGCATCCCCTTGTTTGTGAACAGCAGGCCCGTCTGGGGATAACTTCATGATGAAAGGGGAGCAAAAAAAAAAGATGCAGAGCCGCCATCTAATTGGAGAGGAGCACGGCCAAGTCGAAGGCTTTCTAGCCGGCTCTCACTGCGGGGAAAGAGCAGTTCGGTTTGAGCAATGGCGAATTGGAGCACAGTCACTTGAGAAAATAACCAGTCGTGGCGTACTGGGGGAAGTGAGAGATGGTGTGCCGGGAGCTTGAAACGGTGAAAAAGTGACCTTCAAGTGGTTACCAGCACCGGGGAGGAGTGGGATGAATAACTAGTTTTAAAATTAGAAATCAAGAATAATGACTGTCATTGTGGATTACATATGACAATTTGAAATTTTGGTTCAGCCTTTAGCAAGCATCATGGAACTTGCTTGATTTGGTTTCGCGGGCCACGTAAAATGGTGTGGCGGGCCAGATCTGGCCCCCGGGCCTTGACTTTGACACCTGTGCTTTACATTATGCAACTGTCTTTCTACTTACATAAAAATCAGAACTTTGTTTTTTTTTCCCCTCAAGGGTTGATTTCCTGCATGTTTTCCAAATGTTTCATAATCGTAATAATGTTTATTAGTTGTTTGCACAAGCTGCGGAACCGGTGACAGAACTGTCACGTCTTCTCGCACGCTGAACAAAGCAAAAACAGCAGAATGTTTTCTTGCAGGCAGGCTGGTTGATCGTCTGGCGCACATTAAAAGGGTAAAACTCATATTTAATAGTTTGACATTTATCTTTTGTGACACCGGCACTGGAAGATTTCGAATTCACCATAATATCGAAGTCAGGATAACAATAAAAACGCGTGTGACAGGCCCCAAGTTCTGCTTGTTATATCAAACAACTGCCTTTCTGTTTTCATACACATTCTGGTATGCAGTTTTTTTTTCGCCCTTTATGGGGGATGCAACAAGAAAAGGAAAGGGGGGGGGTGGTGGGGTAATTAGGAGAGAGTGTTCTCTCTCTCTCCTCTTCATTTGAAGTGTTCACTGCTTGCTAACAACATACCCACATCCAGTCCCTTCATGTTTTCCTGCGAGAGGCGGAGTGAGGCTCAAAGTACGATCTGGTATTGAGCCTTTTTCACTCTTTGGGGGTGATGTAACATGAAAGGGAGGAAATAGGAAAGCTAATTGCTGCTGTAAATTGGTAATTTCTCCATTGTGAGTCAAATAAAGGTTTTCTTATCTGATCTTATCTTAATGAGACCATTCACGCTGTCACTGAGTGGCAACTACACTGCGTGGAAGTCAAGCGAATGAACCACTTACACCATCGGTGACTTGAGTTTTTCAGCACTTTAATGTGAATGTTTAAAAAAAATAAAATTAAAAAAAAAAAAGCACAGTAAATGCCATTTCATCTGCACATTATACTTGATCATCCACTTGACAAACAAAACAAAGAGCCCACATTTAAATACCACTTTATTCAAATCTGAGTCTTTTCATTTATTTATATATATATATATATCTATATTTATATACTCATACGTGTGTGTGTGTTTATAAATTTTCTGTTGCTGTCCCTTTGTCGAGGTGTTGCAGTCTCGAAGGCAAGTCGATCTGCCAAGTGTGGCGGTCGCCACTGATGTCTCTTAGTCTCACCACTGGAGGTCTGGCGGGTGCCTATTGCTGCTAATCTGAGCAGGTAGCTCCAGAGCCCCATTCAAGATGCGTTTACTACCCGGCATTTCTCCAGTGTGTGTGGGCGGGTGTGATGTCAGCTTTGTTGGCGGGGAGGGGGGGGGGGGGGGGGGGTTTCCGGGTCGAGGGTCGAATTTCCAGGTTACAGAGGCATACGTACCACATCCTCACAATCCAGTTTTACTGAAGATACTTTGAACACAGGACAAGACGGGAGCGCTTTCATGATGGGATAGATAGCAGAAAAGGTGGAAAAGGATGAGCTCTTAGCGCTAAGCTCACCGGGGGATTAGCCGGATCGGCTGCAGTGATCGCGGGCGGCTGGGCTGGAACGTTTCACTCTCTCAGAATGACTAATCGATTTACACTCAATGCATCTGTTACACTAATGGAAAAATTTGGTTATTCTTGGTTTGAGGAACATGCCGACGTCTGGTTGGGGGAAGAAGGCGAAAATTGTGCATGTGCACGAGGCTTTGGCTGAGGCTTTGATGGGGACTATCTTTAGCTCAGCAGAAGTGTCGCTTTCCGCAAAGGGGGCTCCACGTGGTGCCACGAGGCTCTAGTTCTCTATCCCCTCACCCTCCCTAGTCTCTAACCCTAAATCTGGCTAATCCCAACCCAAACTCCCCATCTCACCAATTTCCTAAACGTCCATATTCTTTACTCCAAACCTCTTTAATCCGAACTTTTCCTTAATTCTAAATTCTTCCAAACCATGACCCCTAACCCTTCATCCTCCCTAACACTAACTCTCCCTAATCTTGACCCTTACACCGCTCACCCTAACTCCGAACTCACTTACCCGGATCTTCACCCCGAACTGCACGCAGCGATTTCCTTTCCTCTAAATGGCCCCTACCCTCCCTAACACGGAACCCTCTGTTAACATTCATTCAAAAGTCTATTTTATATTACATTCTTAATGAATGAATAAGAGTTAATTCCAGGCAAAACACATTTTTTATCGCTGGGGTATACAGATGGTATGTCTGAGATTGCAATGCCAGCAATGCATTTTAAGGGAGCAAGCCTCCGCAAAGGACAATCGTCTTTTTTTTTTTTTTTTGTATTTATTTTTTTTCCAAGGGAAAAAAAAAAGCTCCAGTCAGCAGATATACACCATAATTTATTAGGTTCTCTCTCGGCCAATGCGGCATACTTTGCCCCGATGTCTTTTTTTTATTTTTTTTTCTTTTCCTGCTGATTCTGCTTCAACACCACAAAGCAAACAGAGGCGTAATTGTCAACAAAGTTGGACTAATAAACACAAAGCAAGCAGTAACACGTCGAGTCAGGGTGCGATTTTTCTGGTAATTGGATTACATTTGATATATTTTCCCTGTAAGTTCATTATTTTGGTCATGGTTATTGAATGCAGCCAATCAGATAATTCCTCACCTTGAAGACGATTTTTTTTTTTTCCTTTCATGTTCAAATTAAAACCCAAATGGTTAGCAGACGGTAAATCGAAAGTAGCCGAAAGTCCATCCTAACTCATTGCTCCGTTGTGCGTTGCCCTCTGCCATTGTTTATGACACACGTCAGCCGCCGGCCATTTATCTTAATGAGAGCATTTAACTCACAGCTGAACTTGGACCCAAAACATCCCCGGCGGAAATGTCCCGCCAGCCATCGAGGAATATGTCCGGGCCCCGTCGGTGAAAGCTTAATTAGTTCGAAGGGAGATTAAATTATACGCAATTATTATGATAATATTTTCATTTTCTGGCCGATAACGGGAGTGAAGCGTTTGCGAGCGAGTGTGTTTGTCGGGAGAGAGCAATCTCACTGGGAACAGTCAAAGTTATCTAGGCATGAAATCACAAATCCTGACGGCAACAAAAGATCGAGCCACGTTCTCCGTGACATCCTTCTTTAATTAGAAAAGCTGTTTGCGGTGGGTTTCCTGTGTCTGTCGCCACATTTTCACCAAATGATTTGGTTTGTTTTCGGAACATATACGTGCTATAAAATGGCCCAAAATAGCCAGCTAGCGTTCTGTTGGCCTGCCCAGAAAAGAATACAGGGGACAGGTGGGCCGTATCATTTGTAGATGAGGTAAAAATCAATCAATCAATAAATAATGTCCATGTCAAATGAAATGAAATGAATGACACATTTTAAATATTTGTGTATTAATAATTCAGTTTGAATTAGTGAACCAATATTTAATCAAATGAACATTTTCATCTTATTAAAATGTTCAACAAATTATTGAATGAAATAAATTAATTAAAAAAAAAAGTATATTAATGCAACAGTAAGCGCTTGGTGGGGAGCCGGCGGCAAGTCGCCTTTCAAGATATTACCGCGCGTTTAACACCGGGAGTGACCAGAACGGGTCGGTTTCCTCTCGAAAATGCTTCCAGAAAGCGTATTTTTGCACGATACATTCAACCGGAGGGAACTAAATGCTCAAATTGTTCTGTTGGCACACGACTTTTTGTCTTTTTGACACGATTTCATAGATATTCAGTGTGAAAGGTTCGGGAGCAATGAGGGCTGGGGTTCGAGGGAACTCTCATGTCAGAGGCAGGACAGCGGTTGTGTGAAAGGAGATAGCAGAAAAATCCGGGGCCGGGATGATACGTTTCGACTTCTTGGAGCATCCAATGTCCCGCTTCTTTGAGAAAGGCACAGGCTGATAAATCCCGGATCTACTGTGCTACGCCAATTTTGCAGAAGCTCCTTTATGTGATAGGGGCTTGTTGTAAAGCCAAACTCTTCATGCGGTGGACGGCGCAATGTTTTTGAAGGACGGTGACCCGACTGAATGGAGGCTGACGAGGGTTGAGGTAAGAACTTGTGTGTTGACGCTGACGTTCTCTACCATTTTGGGAATGCCCCTACCCGACTGCCACGTGATGTGCATATGTATATTGTTTGAGTTTTGCATATATTACTCCAGTCAGGCTACACAGTGGCATCGAAAAACAACCCGTGAACCCCCCGCTTCCTACACAAGTCCCCTACCCTGAGGGCAAATAGGGCATCTCGTTGTGGTAGTTGTAGTCCGGGCAGACTTTCTGAACCAGGCGATAGTCCGTGCTGTAAAACGAAATGTAGATGCAGATGACTTTGAAAGGCTTTGAGCAAATCCAGGATACGTGGCTCTGGATCTGCTCCTGGAAGCAGGTCTTGGACGGGTCATAGTTGCACAGCGAGGTGCGCTTGCTGCGGTCCACCTTCTCATAGTCCACGCGGCAGTTGAAGATCTTGGAGTCCTTGGGGTAGACCACACTCTGGCGCTCCAGGTCGAACTCCACCGCTTTGACAGGCGGCACCAAGCTCACTGAGATGTTGCCCTGGCCCGTGGAGTTGTGGCGGAAGTAGACGCTGAAGGTGCCGTTGCCGTGGTCCACAATCTTGCCGGTGATGAGCAGATTCAGCCGCACCGTCTTGATGTTGGAGTAGAAATCCCCCCAGCCGAACATCTTTTTGAACTTGCCCGTCTTGACGATGGGCCGCCGCTTGACCCGGGAGCCCGAGGTGTCTTGTTTGAGCAGGTCACTGCCCAGCATCTCCCAGAACTCCTGCTTGGAAAACTCCTGCTTGGAGAAGGCAGCCGGCGTGCGGTAGGGCAGTTCGAGCGAGGTGGCGTTGGCGGCCCGCCCTCTGCCATGGAGCATCCAGCGGCTCAGTGGCGAGAGGGTCGCCTGGCTGCTCAGGAGGCCCACCGTCTTGGAGGAGTCTCCCGAGGTGCTCTTGGCGCTCGAGGAGTCGTCCTCCTGACTCAGGGCCACCTGGAACCAAGCAGGGACAATGGACGGAGAAACCTGGTTAGAGCAAAGTCGGCCGACTTAAGTCGCAAAACGTGACTTGAGTCCGACTCACGCTAGCGAATTTAGGACCTGCTTGACTTGTGTAAAGCTCGATTTGAGTTTGCTTGAACGTGCCTGTTTACATTTGAAAATGTGAATTTTCAACATAGTGTGCCCTTTGTTTTGTTTGAGAAACTTTTTTTTTTTTTTTGGTACCGTTTGCAACCCCGATGGGTAGCCAGCTTCGATGCTGAGTGCAGAGGCCACCTCGTGAAACGGATATTTTGGGTGGCTCAGGAAGATTGTATGAGCTGGCGTATGCCTTGAATTGATTTATTTCAAATTTTGTAGCATTTTGACGAGTTTGATTTCTCCCACAGTAAAAGTAACTTGTAAACTTGAGGCTGCATTTTTGTATTGTCAATTTAATTTGACTTCACTTTGTCTCGTCGGCCTTGCTTCTTGTATCACCTTCAGCCACTTGTCATGTCCAGGTGTTCCTTACGTTGTCTCGTCAGTCTGTTTGTATTCAGTTCCCAATGTCACGTGTCCTTGTGTCGTGTCAGCTGTCGCCCGTGGCGGTGAGTTTGTTCCTCGTGTTTTTTTGTCACTTTGTATTTCAATTGGTCGGCACGTTGCGTTATACGGTTATGAGCTGCGCCGGCTCTGCCCCATTACTTTTTATTTGCCCGTGTCTTATGATATTCCCCTGTAGTCCTGCCTTCCTTGCCTGCTTCCTTGCACTTGGGTCCACCTACCTCGTTTGCCTGCACACCACTCGGGCAAACACCCCCTTTTACCCAAAGCGTGACGATGTCACTTACCTCCGGTTATTAGCAATGGGCTAAGGAATGCGGCACGAAAATAAATTACAGATTTAATCAATATTTAATTTACCGTTCTCACCTCCCGTGGAGGTATCGGTGACATTTGATCAATGTGATACTGTATAACGTGTATAAATGGTACAAACTTCGCGGGTATTGCATTCTATTGTTTAGATCGGCTGCAAGAGGGGGAAAAAAAAACAATCTCTGGCGTGAGTTATTCCCAGAACACTCTTGCAATGGAATGCCGGCGATGCCCTGAGGGATCCTGCAATTGATTCAGAGACCAAAAAAAAAAAAAAAAAATCCGAAATTCAAGGTCCGTTAGCCTCGCGGTCTTTGGCGGTTGGGTCGATATATACGCCAGGGTGGGCTATAATCCTGTTAAACAATAAAGCTGTGCTATTAAGAAACGTTCTCCAAAGGTGTTTCTCACACGTCGATGAGCCCCGTCCGCAGGCACATTTACAAATCTTCATCCGAGGCAGCGCAGTAAAATGCTCATAAAATTGATCTTTCAGGGTTTTTTTTTTCTTCCACCTCTCGTATGTTGCAGTCTTTAGCATATGCCCGTTTGCAGTGTTGATGACCTATCACGTATACGGTGAAGCTCTTGGTTGCCCGAGCTATTTACGAGTTAGCCTGTTAGCTCAGTTTTGTTGCCTGGTTTCAATTTGTCTGAATGGAAGTTTGATGAGACGAAATCAGACTATGTTAAAACTCCCAATACAGTGGGGCCATTTTTTTTTTTTTTTTGGTTGTACCACAACAACCAGAATTAGAATGCTCACTTAATATCGCTAAGCGCTCTCATGCATAAAAATTTCAATTCAAGGACGTCACCAAACTGCTGAACAGCAAACCGCCAGTCTAAGTGCAAGAACTCACTTTGTGCAATTTTTTTCCACAAAAAATAAGATGTATAAAAATAATTCAAATCTTCATTCTCCAGCAAAGGGGCCACTTGAAGCTGCCAGTTGCCCCTCCCTGATCCAAAACGACGTGTAGGAAAAAGTAGCTTGCAGTGAACAATAGTTGGAATCATGGTGTGTATTCTGGATCGGTGTAACATTAAAAAAACCAAAACAAAAACACATCAATTAAACTTAATCCCGCTTCCTTAAAATCTGCTTCCTGGTTTTGTTCTTTTAGCAACCATAAAATCCCATCTGTATGTGTGAATTTAACAACGGAAAAACCCCTAACACTTTGTAACTGGGAATGGGCAAGCTAGAAAAGGTCACTCGAAGATCATCCTTTCTTCCTTGAACTAAAATCCGAAAAGAACAAACTCGCAGTTTCATACGATGCGCAGGGGAAGCCATTTATCGCCTCAAAATATTTGGGTTTGGAGCATCAAAGTGTTGGAAAACGGGCAAGGGGGGTACAAAGGGAAAAAGCCTTCATATCCAATTAGCACATGCAGTCTTTTAATTAAAAGAGGAAAAGTGGCGGCCGAGAGATGAGACATCGACGCTGCGCTCAGCGGTGGCTTTTTAAGCCGAGTGTGAACGCCCCAGCAGAGTAATGGTGGATTATTCCACCGTAATGATCCATATTAGCGGGTCATTTGCGTCGAAAGCTGCTGTGATGACGCCGTCCTCTGGGAGCGGGTTGCGCATTTTCTCACTAAAATGTTAAGTGATGCAAATACAAACAGGAACGTGTGGTAAAAGAGTGGGGGGAGGGCGGGGCGGGGGGGCGAGCAATTCAAACAGACAGATGGGCCATTTTTAGAAAAACGTAATTCTGTAGACCTGTGGAAAAAGTTTTAAAAAATTGAATTCTACTTGAGATACAAACACTGTCTGATAGCAAGTGACTCAAGTCAGTTCACAACAAGCAGCAATTTGGCAGATGACATTAGTCAATATTCTTCAGAAAAAAAGAGGCTTCGGGGTGTTTATTGCCACTCATAGCTGGAGGCTCCTGTCAAACTCAACATAAAACAAAGAGAATTACATGTTTATTTCGCACAGCTACAGTACGTAGCCTTCGCGAGGCCAACGTTAGCTGAAAGCTAATGACTTGGCACAGCCCCAATCGCAGCTCGTTCTAATCAAGTCGTATCAGCGGTGAGAAACACGTTTCATTGCCAAAATATGTCCATAAATGCGTCGGCAAGAATTGTGTGCTCACAACAACTTCATCCATCACTGAATAACAAGTCCCATTACGATGCACTGCGGATGTGTGGGCCATATCTAGCCCGCTGGCCATATTTTGCCCACCCCGGGATTAGCAGGTAGTTTGCATGTAATGCGCCACCGGCCGCGATGATGGCGTCCTAAGGGACACGTTTTGTGAGTCCTCACCTAAATGATAAGCGATGCAAATATAAAGTGCGTGTGTGGATATGATGCCGCGATACATTATGCATGCGTCTCCGTATGTGCTCCGCTTCCATCTACTATCTTGAAAGCAGCAGCTTCCTCAGGGATGATTAACTCAGATTCATTTCTATTCCGCCAATCCGAGGCGGCCGGCCGGATTTGTTCCGACGCGCCGCGGACGGTGGGCTGCTATCGATTTTCTGTCTTGCCGAAAAAAAAAAAAACTCGGGATTTCCTCTCATAACAACAGCGAGGAATTCCCGCCGTTTTGCTCTTTGGTCACAGATGAGAGGATTTCTACTTTTTTTTCCTCCCCCCTTTATTCTTCTGTAATCTCAATTTCCGGGAGGCATGGCCTGTCCTCTTAATACCTGTCAATCAAATGGCTCTGACCTGAAGTCATAACCAGACTGTGGTAAAAAAAAATGTAATTCCTTGTCTTAGAAAGGCCCTGTTTATTATTATTATTATTTTTTTTTGTCGTGCGAGGCGTAAAATATCCTACTCCGGTGATCAAATTCCAACGTGGACAAAAAAAAAAGTATGGTTGAGAATAGCTCCTTATGCGTGTGAAAGTAACAAGTGTAATCTTTTATGTTGCAAGGCATAATATCATTTAAAGGCAATGCAGCATCTGCGTGCACAAATTTCACTGTGTTAAAAAAAAATGCACGTAAATCTGTTTTCCTTTCATGTTCAGCATTCACAGCTTGCCGTCAGAGTGCTGTGGAAGCCCGTTCGGCATTGATTTCCACTGAAGTCGCGGCATTCGGAAGTCCGTTTCCGAGTGAGAGGTCTGAAATATCCCACTCGGGGAAGCCAAAACAAAAACATTGGTTGCAATTAGCTTGTTTTTGTGCGTGAAGACGACAAATGTAATCTTGTTTGAGAGTTAACCAATGTTTTACAGCATCACATCTTTTAAAAGTGAATATTTATATCAGTTTGACTTGATGTCTGTCATAGAAATTGCTTCGATTGATTCTCATGCATCACTCCCAATTTCGTGAAAGATGGGTTTTCGTTATCTGTAACCAATGATCGTCATTTTTGTAAAAAATAGTCATGAAATATTCCATTCTCACACTACTGACACAAATTAAGTTTTCCATCCATATTCAAATTTCTCGCAGCATACCAGTGTATCATTTTTCTTCTGAACATCATTTTGCTCCGAGCTGTTTTTTGTCGCATTTTTAAAAGGGACTGTGCCGACATTTTTAGACTTCCTCGATTTCTGGAATACAGTGTCATCATTCCTCGTGGAGTCTCCAAGGAAGAAGCAGAATAATGGGCTTTGTATGAGGACAGCCGTATTTTTCCTCTAAGTAGAGTTTAATTCGCCTCCCGTGCTTTTGTCTTTCATTTGCATGTGTTTGAAGAGTTTCCATCCCAGCGGAATGCTGAATCATCTTAAAAAAAGGGTCGCCGCTGTGGCCCGACACCTATTTTTTTTATTGTTGAATATTACAACGGGCATTACTTTTATGCTTTTACATCCTTCCGTAAAGAATGCACACGGCTACAACTTTGTCGCCACTTTGCATTTAAGCGTGGCAGGGGGAGTATATGAGGTGTTAAGATTTAACCATCAGCAGCACGCTTTCTAACTTTCACTTGTGCACTGTAAGCAAAACGGGATGGGACGGATTGCTTCACGTAGGAATGCAAATAGTGGAGAGCAGACCTCTTAACACCACCCAAACAATACTCATCAACCTGTCTGATTTGTATTATTTTTTTTAACATTTCCGATTAAATTTAAAAAAAAAACAAAAGTCGTGTGGCATGAACATTAACTCCGATGACATCCAAGAGGCTT